GCTTGGGGCACTTGGGTGGCTCAGTTGGTTAAGTGTCCGACTCTTGGTTTTGGCTCAGGTCATGATCTCACGGTCTGTGCGTTTGAACCCTGTGTTGGGCTTGGTGCTGACAGTGTGGAGCCTGCTTGGGCTTCTCTGTCTTCCTCTCTTTCTGCCCCTCCTCTGCTGCTCTCTCTCCCTCTCTTTCTTTCAAAATAAATAAGTAAACATTTTTTTTTAAGTGGGAGGGGCTCGTCTTCTATACTTTTGTCTCTGACTCTCTGCCCCCCATATATTCTTCCAGGTGACTTTCGGTATACACCATCCATGCTAAAGGAGCCAGCCCTGAAACTAGGGAAACAGATCCATACCTTATACCTAGATAACACCAATTGCAACCCAGCCCGGGTTCTTCCCTCCCGACAAGAAGCTGCCCGCCAGATTATCGAGCTCATTCGAAAGCATCCACAGCATAACATAAAGATTGGTGAGTGGTTTCCTTTCCTTTTTCTCTCACCGAAAGCTAGCGAATCTTGGGTTTTGGGAGGGTTTCACGTGTCTTTTAGGTCTTCATAGATGTCCCCTTCTCCATGAAACCTACCCTGACCACCTTATTTAAATGGCAATCTTCCAACCATCTCTACTCTCATACTCTCACATGCCCAACTCCTGATCTTCTGTAACCAACTGTTTTATTTTTTCATAGCACTCATCACCTTACTCTTATCCATGCTTCAATCCAAGCTATTACTTATTGTTTGTTCTCTACTTCTCTTGACACACACACACACACACACACACACACACACTCACACTCCTTGAGAGCATGGATGGAGGTAGGAAGAAGTCTTGTTTGTGGAACAGAGAGGCAGCAGCCTGTATGGTGGACACGTAGTGGGTGAGGAGGCTGGAAAGGCAGGAGGGGCTGAAGTGCTTGCTTGTAAGCTTCAACTTGATCCTAAATGTAATCCCAAATGTAACTTCATCCAAATGGTTACATTTGGACAAAAAGCTGTTGAAGGTTTTTAAATAGGAGAGGGCCAATATTGCACTCATCACCTTATAATGTATTCCACAATTTACATGCTATTGTATTTGCTTTTTGTCTCCCCCTGCTAGAATTCCACAATGGCAGGGCTCTTTGCTTTCCTTATGGATATATCTCAGATGCTTAGATTAATGCCTGAGGAGGCAATCAATAAACCTTTGTTATCTGAGCAAGTGAAATTTATCAGAACGTAGATATTCAAGTGATTGCCGAGCTTCAAATCAGACACATCGAGAAACCAACTGTGTGTTCTAGCGATTCCACAACAGCATAAAACATTTTGGGGCCTTCTAACTGGTACCTATGCTTTCAGCATCTCCTCATGCAGGCGATCCAGTAACACTGCTGTCATTTTTTTTCCCTAAGGCCCTCCTCAGATCATAGTATTCCTGTGATTAAAATTAGCCATTTTCCTGGTGCAAACTCTTTAATAGCTCTCTTTCACTTACAGAATTAAGTTCAAGCTCCTTAGCAATATATACAGGCTCTCTATCATACAAGCCTTGCTTACCTCTCCTGTGTCATTTCCTACCAGTTCCTTGTCTGCACTTTAGTGACACCAAACCACCCCCTTCCCCTGCCAGGTAAACTTACACCTGTCCTTTAGGACCGCTCAGTGGCCATTTTCAGGAAACCTTCCCTGTGATCAACTGGTAGATACTTTCCTATGCTCTCATAATAGTGTGTGCATGCTTCTAACATTGCTCTTGACCACACTGTGTCTGGGTCCCCATGTAGATTACACTCCTTGAGGACTGAGGCTTGTGCTTGTTTTCATAGTGCCTAACACCAGGTAGATGCTGTCCTTTGTTGAACTGAATGAGTGAGTGGATCCTGTGTGAAGCCCTCCTCCATCCTCTATGTATCTCAGCTCAAATGCCACCTCCTCCCTGATACACTCCCTGATTGCCCTGTTAGTTTTGTGTGTTTTTGTTAAACATTTGGTTGATTTATTAGGATTCTCCAGTATCTTCTTTCTCTTTCATCCCTTGCTTTTCCCATTCCCTTTGACATCGTTCAGGACTCTATAGCCTGGGAAAAGAGTCGCTGCTAGAGCAGCTGGCCCTGGAGTTTCAGACCTGGGTGGTATTGAGTCCTCGGCGCCTGGAGTTGGTGCAGCTTCTGGGCCTGGCAGACGTGTTCACGGTGGAGGAGAAGGCCGGCCGCATCCATGCTGTGGACCACATGGAGGTCTGCCGTTCTGCCATGCTACATTGGAACCAGACCCACCCTACCATTGCCATCCTTCCCACAAGCCGGAAAACCCACAGCTCCCACCCCGACATCCACATCATCCCTTACTCAGACCACTCCTCCTACTCAGAGCTCCGGGCCTTTGTGGCAGCACTGAAGCCTTGCCAGGTGGTGCCCATTGTTGGTCGGCAGCCCTGCAGGGACTACTTTCAGGACAGCCTGAGCCCCAGGCTCTCTGTGCCCCTGGTCCCGCACTCTGTGCAGCAGTATATGAATTCCTCCTCAAGAAAACCAAGCTTGCTCTGCCTGTTGTTAGAAAGGAGACTAAAGAGGCCGAGAACCCAGGGTGTCGTGTTTGACTCCTTTCCGGAAACTGCTGATCAATCTCAAGGTGACATGGACTCGCAGGAGACCAAGAATGACAACCTTTCTGGGCACCTCGAGAAGCAGGCTTCCCACCGTCCTTTGCAGATCAAAAAACCGTTGCTTCCGGACCTCTGCAGCAAAGAGTGGGATGGGGCAGTCCCTTTCTCAGAGTCCCAGAAGATGGTGACTGTACTGACTGCCCCCTTGAATGTGTCAGTGCACTTACGGTCTACAGATGAGGAATTTATGTCTCTAGAAACTGGGGAGGAAATTGGTGTGTGGCCCCACTCGGTCCCCAGGGGAAACCATGATGGCTTAGCAGCCACAGGGAACCAGAGCACTTGGACGGGCCAGGATTGTCCCCTGACTCACAGCAGCGAGGCAGCCCCTCTCCTGGCTCCTGAGTTCAGGGGCCTGGCACTGAAATACCTTCTGACTCCAGTGAACTTTTTCCAGGCCCAGTTCTCTTCCAGGGGCTTTGACCAGCAAGTGGAAAAATACCATAAACACTTGCTGAGGTACAGGGAGGAGAATGACACCTTCGTTTGATCCAACACCGTGGTTGTAAAGATAGTGACCCATGGCTGCTGGAGAGACTTTGTTTTGGGCCTTACTTTTCTAAAAATATTTTTTTTTTACATTTATTCATTTTTGAGAGATAGATGGAGCACGAGCGGGGGAGGGACAGAGAGAGCCGGGGAGACAGAATTCGAAACAGGCTCCAGGCTCCGAGCTGTCAGCACAGAGCCCGACGCGGGGCTCGAACTCACAGATCACGAGATCGTGACCTGAGCGGAAGTCAGACGCTTAACCAACTGGGCCACCCAGGCACCCCTAGGCCTTACTTTTCCATCTTCACAGGATCCCCGTGTGCTCACCCTGGAGCAGTAGCTCACAAAGTGTGTTCATTGGAATCCTAGTGCCCATGGAGCCATTAGTTTCATGGTTGGCTACGTTTAAGAAACACTTTTCAGGGGCGCCTAGGTGGCTAAGTCGATTGAGCATCTAACTCTATTTCAGCTCAGGTCATAGTCTCACAGTTTCGTGGGCTCCAGCCCCACACGGGGCTCTGTGCTAATGGCATGGAGCCTGCTTGAAAATCTCTCTCCCTTCTCTCTGCCCCTCCCCTGTTCACATTCTCTGTCTCTGAAAATAAAACAATGCTTTTCAATATACCCTCTGCACAGCATACATGAGCATACTAAAGGTTCTGAGAAGTCTTACAGTAACTTAATCTGTTGAACTCAGTATTTCTGCAACTTTTTTGAACATGCAGTCCTCTGACATGGGTGCAGTAAGAGATGCAGTCTGAATCAGAAAGGACCGGGTCACTCCCATTATTATTTTGTGCACCATGTGCCATTCCCAAGTCTTGTTACCCTTCTCCCCAGATAAAAGTCCCAGATAAAAATTCCATTTTTTAAGTTAGGAACTGTTGGAGGGTAAAGTGGTGATCCAGGCAGCATGATACAATCTCGAATGTCACTAACTTGCTGTGACCCTGTCCAAGTGACTTCCTGTCTTTGCCTCCGGGAGGGAACAGGAAGCAGTGAAGAACCCTGGAATGGTAGAGAAAAACTCGCCCCTGCCTCTATGAGAGTCTGCAGTTAGTGTTACTAGAGACTTCTCTGGAACAGAGCCAGCTGGCGTAGTGGGCACCCTTCGCCAAGGCCATACCTGGAACCCAGCTGAACGGTGCACGTAGGGTATGATGGCCTCCCAGCCTCCTGGAGGCCCTGACTATTTAGCCAAAATAAAGTTACAAAAGATCAAATGTGCTGCCAGATATTCCTGATTGTTCACATAGCTGGGATATTTGCTGCTCTCCCCGCCCCCCGCCCCCTTGGGTTGAGTAGGGAGCCAGAGCACACAGCCTGTTTGTTTTAGTATCCAGGGCAGAGACCAAGGAGCCAGCTGGTGGAAGGGCTGGGGGTGTGCAGCTCTGCCCTGTCCTTCTGCTCCCAGCCTGACAACGTGCCAAACCAATAAGCAGGACAGCAGACACCATAGGCTCTGAGACTGGGTACAGGCATGTAGAGCTGGGCACACGAATAAAAACTACTTCAGAACGAAGCCTCGCAATAAAGGTTGTTTCTTGCCCAGGAATAAAAAGGTTTTCTACTTTGCGAAGAAGATATGAAGTGTTTATAAAGTAAAATAAGGCCTTGCTCTTGGGCAAGCTGTACACGGCCCTGTTTTGTCACTGTAAGCCTCCGGTGCGCCCACTAGGAGCTGCAGCAGGTGAGGCTTGTGGGGCAGCAGGAAACAAGGCATTGTCCTTGGCTTGAATCCAGGGCACCCCGGGGTAAAAAGAAACCAGGCCTAAATAGTGGAGCCTCAGTTCCTCATCTGTAAAACAAGGACTGAGATGCCTCCCTCTCCTGATGGCTCTGGAGGTTAGATAATGGGAAAATTTTTTTTTTTAAATGTTTATTCATTTTCGAGTATATTGGGTGAGCCGTGGGGGTAATGGCTGGAAAAGGGAGAGGAGAGGAGACACAGAACTGGAAGAGGCTCAGCCTTGAGCTACTGGCAGACCATGCGCCTCTCTAAACCCAAAAATATAAGTGGTAAAATTCTTAGCTCAGTGTCTACCACATATGGGTATTTCGGATGTTGGTTCTCTTAGCCTCTGGTTCTCTAAGGAAATTGTTCCGTGTATAAAATGAAATTTTGGAAGTCACTGAAAAACATAAAAAGTCAATTGTAACTCCTCCATGTACATCAATTGTTCTAGTCCTTTTTTGTATGTATAAACATATTAAATATATACTATTTTTCAAAATTGGGGTAACAGTGGATATAGTTTTAATCCCACATTTTACTTTAATCCCACATTTTACTTTCTTAATCTTAAACGTTTCTTTGTATCATTAAGTACTATTCAAAATGTAGTTATGAGTAGTTGTATAATGCCTTACATAGGTAAGTAAACCATTTCCATATTATTCAACATGCTGTGTGCCCTTTTTTCACAATTAGACATATTACAGTGAACATCTTTGCTGTGCATGTATCATGGCATATTTTGTTTATTTCCTTAAATTACTGGGAGTGGGGTTACAATTTTTAAGTTCTTAATATAAATTGGGCCCAGTTGCCCACCAGAAAGGTTTCCTTACTATCCTTTCTGCAGAGGAGGAGGAATTTAGAATACCTTGAAGATTCCTTAAGTTCAAATGAATGTAAGCATGTACATTCAGGTACATGTAAACACGTGGCAAATCATCTTGTGTTAAGTTCATAAATATTTACTACAGCTGTGTGGGTAAGGCTTAGCTTGAGTTCCTCCAGGAGCCTCTAGCTGCCTCACTTCTCTGCTCCCCAAAGGTGACTGGGAGAGATAAGGTAGTCTTCAGTATCAGGGCCCCCAGATTGGCACTATCTTCTAGCAACAAGGGAGCCAGTCCATTCTTGGCGTGTGATGTATCACACACATTCCTTGAAATGGAATCTATATGAATTCAGATGGGGGAGTAGAAGCAAATGGCTTTGAGGAATTTAGATGTTGATGGCATGTTTGTGTTTATAACGGGGAAATTCCATACTATTCTCAAGTAAATTTGTCTGGCTTATAATAGAGATTGGCAGTTGCCTTATTCATTCAGTATCTCCATAGTCTCATATAAAAGTGCTGCATTGCATATACCTAGAAGTAGCCAATTTATTTTTAGAATCTAAGGATGACCCCACAGATCTGAGATCTTACAGTTGGGCTTGAAGATACCGGGAGAAAGGAAGTTCCCTAGAGATCAATTAGCTGTTTCATGATCTGTGGGAAAACACGTACTTTTCCACAAGGAAACTGACGCTAGCTTAAGTCCCTTTGGAGAAAAAAAAATCTGCCTGGCTGGCTTTGAGGCACCATCTCTCACTCCTGATACAGACTCCCCTTTGTGGTTGGAAATGGGAGATAGGTGAGTCTGCTTATTCAAGTAAAGGGATCTGGACTTGCGTTCTCCATGTCAAGACAATTCCCAGGGAGACTGGTTCTCTGTATTCTTGGAGTGCTCCTTAAGCAGGAGAAATTCCATCTGGGGGTCCATGCTACCACGAGTGAATTGCTGTCAGTTTGTTACCTGCCTTCCACCCTTTACCCTCCCCAATCACTACCACAACAGGCTGTTTTGTCTTGAGTTCATGGTGCTTCCCACTTCCTCCTCCATGGAACACCCCACTACATTGATACAGAATAATTCTGCTTGCCATTATAATCTTCTAAATTTACAACTCCCTGTGGAAATTCTCAGAATGGTTAAGCTTATCTTTATTTTTTTAACATTTTATTTTTAAAGTTTGTTTTGAGAGAGAGAGAGAGAGAATGAGAATGACGAGCAGAGGAAGGGTAGACAGAGAGGGAGAGAGGATCCCAAGTAGGGATACCCCTGACTCAGGAATTGAGCCACCAACGCATCCCAAGCTTGTCTTTATTTTGATCACAGTGCTTTCATTTAACTATGCCCTTCCACCTTGACCATCTCATTCCTGGGTGATTTGTCTACTTTGAACACATCCTTAACCCACTGGATCACAGAAAGCTCCCAGAATCTTGGGCTTGGTTCTTTTCCTGGCCAGATGGCTCACTGAATCATCTTTCAATCACCCAAAACTTCTGGCTAGGCTTGGGTTCGTCTTTCCCTTATAATATTCACTTATTTGATTTATATTGATCTTATTTGACTTATATTGATTTTAATATTCACATATTTACGACACAATTGTATTATGGCTATTTTACCAATTCTGAATCTTCCCATCAATTTTCAATAATTTGGGGGAATGGAGAATGAAAAGTTTGTTCCCAGTGCTATAGTCCCATTAATGTGCTTACTATAAAGTGTGCTTTTGGGCAACAAAGAACATTGGGGGAAGCTCACTCACCCTACTAACCAGGCTCCATAGAAACAAAGCATCAGGGAGGGACTAGACTCCTGTACATAGGGAGTCAGGGATAGAAGGTTTGGAGAAAACCTGCTAAAAGGTTCTGAGCACCCAATTCCTAAACTGGGGAGGAGGGGTGTGCCGTCCTCCACCAACCACAATTCTCCGATACCTGCTGGGTGTCCTGTAATTCAACTCAATTCTGACACTCTCCACGTGAAAATAGCCTCCAATCCCACAGGTTAAGGGTTCAAGACTACAAGACTGCTCTCCTCCCTCTCAGACACCAATTGCAAGCCCAGGTTGTCACCTGTGCTTCTGACCACTGGCTGTCAATCGGAGGTTCCAACGACTCCTCCTTGGATTTGGATAATTTGCTGGAGCAGCTTGCAGAACTCAGAAAAACATTTTACTTACCAGATCACTGGTTTGTTACAAAAGACTATAACTTAGATGGGAGAGATGTTTAGGGCAAGGTATGAGGGAAAGGCAGGGAGTGCCCATGCTCTCTGAGCACACCAGTCTCCCCAAATTCCCACGTGTTCACTTTCTCCTTCACAAGTATGTCTTCACTCTGGATGACTTCAACATTCCAGCCTCTCAAGCTCTTTGACCTCCTCATCTCCAAAGACCTTATTTCCTTCTTCCTCACCACCCTGTCATTAACC